CTCTCTAGAAGCCGTTGACCAGGGGTGCCATAAACCCTACTGGCCATTGCTCCTGCTCATAGTTACCTACCAGATTGAATAGTAAGAATCTATTGCTGAAGATACTATACACATGAGCTGTAGAATAAACATGGAGAAATCAAGCTGGTGCTGACCTCAGAGCCTCTTTTCTACTGGCTAGCATTCACAGAGCGGGAACATGCTGTGCAAAATTCCAGAAGGAAAAAATAGTCATCATCCTTACCCAGCTGTGAATCCTGTGAATTACAATAACTGGCCTAGTAAGATATGCTACCGGTGTAACAGTGGCACAAATATCATGCAAGTAACTAACCACCCTTCCTACGATGGAGTCCATACCTGACACTGATATCAGGCTTAGCCACCGCTAAACAGGTCACAGGACATAGAGGAGAAACTAATACTAGTTTTCTACTAGTTATCATATTAGAGTTACTCTTAATGACTTAGTGTTATATCCACAGATTAATCCATCTCTCAACTCTGACCAGATAAATTTTCTTAGGCAACAGACTGACACAGAAATCCACAATTGGTCAATATGCAGAGAACAAGAGGCTGTAGAGCAGCATACCCCTGGAAAGGACACTTCCAAGGCTCAAGGATCATTTCAGAAGAGGAGGCAGAATGACTGTAAGAGTCAGAGGTGGCAAATGACCACAAGGAAATGGAGTTTTTCCAATAGCTAGTCAGTTACTCATATGAACTCACAGCAACAGTGACAGCATGCACAAGTCCCATGCAAGCTCAAACCAGACAAAATCCCAGCACAGACATGAGGTGGGTAAGAAACTCCAACCCCAACTAAGGAAATTGTAACACAGGTGGATACTGGGAGGGGCAGAGACAGTCTCTTATAGGAATAGGACTCTTGGTAGGTTAACCAGGCTTCAGTGGATGGACCCACACCGAAGGACATTTAGAGGCACAAATTAGATTCTATAGACCTTATTGTGTGTGTGTGTGTGTGTGTGTGTGTGTGTGTGTGTATGCACATTAAATTGTGGGAGAGGGGGCAATAAGAGGAGGGGACAGGGGAGGGGATCTAAATACCATTCAATTATATTGTATGAGGATCACAACAAATCAATGTAAAAAGAGAAAAATATGTGAGGGGGTTTTGGGTTTGTCTTTTTTTTTGTTTCATTTTGCTATAAATGGAAGAGTGGGACTGAGGGTACAATCTAACAAGGAACCCTGTGCTATCCTAGACATTCACTTCAAGCATTTGGACAGGAAGTAACAGCTTATGTTGATTGTAAAGACCTGGGATGAACAGAGGAGATACAAGTGATATCAAAGTGCTCATGCTGTGCCCTCTCAGTGCTGTTATGTTCCTTAATATAATGAAGGTGATGAGGTTTCCTAAAGTCTTCCTACTGGGGGTAATAAATGTCGATACAGGTTTGACAGTAGGTACTCAAGTGACAGGAATCAATTTCAGGGTATTCAGTTGTAGAACCACCCCTCTTCATTCTAGAAGAACACTGATGCATGGATCTACAATAATTACTATTCAAGTACTGTAAGCTAACATTGTGATTATTTTCTGAAGACTAAAACAAAAAGGAATGGTGCTAAACATCACCTGAAATCACTGGAACTGGTCCTGCAAGCACTGTCAGTGCCATGTTCCTGAAGCCCGTTTCACTTTTAGAAATGTTATCCATGGCTTCCCCAGTAACTTAATGATGTAAAATAAAAAAGTTAAAGAAATTAATTTTTTTATTCAGTTGTACAATGAATTTGTAATTGAGCTAAATACTACTGCAAATGTCCAAAGGATGACAGGTTGTTCTCCTACCGCTGCCCAGCCAGCTGCTCCTTAAAACACTAAACTACACCATGTCAGATTAAAAGAGCGAAACGATTAAAACTGTTAACATTTATAAAGTTAATAATCAGTCAGGCGTGGTGGAGCAAGCCTTTAATACCAGAACTCTGTAGCCAGAGGCAGGTGAATTCAAGGCCAGTCTGGTCTACATAGCAAGTTCCAGGCCAGCTGGGGCTACAGGGAGACCCTGTCTGAAAACAAACAAACAACAAAGGCAAAAAAGTAATAAGCCAGCTATTTCATAATTTAGTGTAAGTTTATACTATTTATAGAGTACAGTAGAGTAGTTATGCCCTGCATCTTCACATTTGCTGAGAAACACATAGCTCTGAAAGTTGGCTCATGGAAAGTGCCCCTCACAGGTGTTAAGTCTTCTCTTCACAACACTCTTACCTATATTTGTGCCAATCCTTTTGTATCTTTGATATGCAAAGGCTTATCAGGATTGCTACTGCAATTACTACTCAGTAAATACACCACATGCTAAATGTGTACTAGACTATACTATGAGTACACTTTATGATCTCCACATACCCTATGATATTGCCTAGCCATGTGCAACTGCAAGTATCCTCCATGTTAATAATGTGGGTATACTTAGAGAATTCTCATTTCAAGGGTTCCTTTCAGAGGAATAGAAAACTTATAGAAATTTATAAACTTATAGATTCTAGAAATCTTTTGATTTTTTTAATTTTATGTGTATGCGTGTATTGCCTGCATGTAGATTAGGTGCACCTGTGTGGTGCAATGCCCATGGAGGTCAGAAGAGGCTGTCGGATCCCCAGGGACTGGAGTTAGCTGCCATGTGGGTGCTGGGCTTCAAACCCAGGTCTTCTGCAAGAACCACCAGTGTTCTTAACTGCTAAGCCATCTCTCCAGCCCCAAAATCTTTTGATATTTTTATTTCTGTATATTTAATTGATATCTTTCTAAAAAAGATTACTTTCTAAAGAGATGAAAACCTCCACTGATGACTCCCCTAGGTTGGTAACAACCAAACACTTGAACATCACTGTAGGCAATATATGCTGAATAAGATAAAACACAACTGGTTTATAAGCCAGACAAATATCTGCATTAGACTGTCCACACAACACAATCAGTTCTCCAATCACAATAATGCTTCCCCTGCCCTTACCAACAATCAACATCACAGAAAGGAATCTTTGCTTTTCTGATGGTGGTGGTTATGTGGTACTGAACCTTAGACATCTTGCATACTGACCAATATCTAAAACCAGGCTACACTTCCAGCACTATTGTACTGTTACACTGAGACATGGCTACACTAAGTTGCTCAAGGAGGCCTGGAACTTTCAATACTCCTACCTCAACCACTAGAGTAGCAATGATTACAGGCCTGCATGATGACAACGCCCATTAGGGACCTTTTTTAAAAGCCAAGGACTAGTTATTAAAATACATTCATAGCTTACATAAAATTTCATTCACATGAAAATTTGAGCATTATCCATTAATTTGCATCAACATGCCTGAATTTGTAGGTTTTCATTTCAGTAAGATTTTTCGCTTGCATTTATTATACTTAGTTTCAATCCACTGTGCATTCTTAGGACTATGACCATTATGAATCATCATGCAATACTGGGTGGATGTAACAGAAAGTACATGCACATTTTGTTCAAAGAGTTTTCCTACAAAATGAAGTTTTATTTTCCTCTACATCAAATGGCACTGAAGGTGTTAGCATGATTTTTCATCCATAGGGTTTTTCTCTAGTGAGCTCTTCAATGACTCCAAAAAACAACAGAAAAAGGCTTCATAATTTTTAATATTCACAAAAAAATTGTCTCATTAACTTTTCCAGATTTTTGAAGGAAATGGGAAAATCTGAAAGTTTTCACATTATTTACATGCACAGGGTTTTTCTGCTCCCATCACATTTCCTGTATGTATGTATACTGGTATGTGTGTAGTGCCCATGAAGGCCAGAAGATGGAACTGCCATGTGGGTGCTGGAAATTGAACATGGATCCTCGGGAAGAACAGCAAGTGCTCCCAACCCCTAAGCCACCTCTCCAGCCCCAGCCCCATCCCACCTTTTTTAGGGTGTGTGTATGTGTGTGTGTGTGTGAGAGAGAGAGAGAGAGAGAGAGAGAGAGAGAGAGAGAGAGAGAGTCCCTGTAGTCCTGGCTGGCCTGGAACTCACTATGTAGACCAGGCTGGCCTCGAACACACAGAGATCTGCCTGCCTCTGCATCCCATGTGCTGGGATTAAGTCATGTGCCACCATGCCCAGTCCATCATATTTTTTGATGCCTTAGGAAATAAAGAGTTTGGATCCAGTAAGAATTATTTCATACAATGAGGGAATTTACCACATTATTATATTCACCGTATTTCTCATATATGAATTCATCTGTGCAATTAAAACTGTAATACGCAAAAGATTTACCATTGTTGCCATTTATGGCGTTTATCTACAGTTTTCAGGCACTTGAAGGCATCTGTGACATCTAATGGACTTACTGCATTATTTAGAATAAGGTTTTATGACCAATCTGAGTTCTTTTACGCTCAGAAAAGGCTTTACCGTATTAATTACAAGCATGGGCTTTTTCGCCAGTATGAGATCTTTCATGCTTTTTAAGTACAGATAGATAAATGAAAGACTTACCACAGTGTTTACATTCATGAGGCTTTTCCCCAGTATGAGTTATTTTATGTCTTTGAAGGGAATGGTGATATCTGAAGGCCTCACCACACTGTTTACAGGCATACGGCTTTTCCCCAGTATGAGAAGTTTCATGCATTTTAAGTAAAGAGGGATAAATGAAATACTTACCACACTGTTTACATTCATAAGGTTTTTGCCCACTATGAGTTACTTTATGTTTTTGAAGGGAATGGTGATTTCTGAAGGCTTCACCACATTGTTCACAGGCATAGGGTTTTTCCCCAGTATGGGTTCTTTCATGCCTTTTGAGTACAGAGGGATAAATGAAAGATTTACCACATTGTTTACATTCATGAGGCTTTTCCCCACTATGAGTTATTTTATGTCCTTTAAGAGAATGGTGACTTCTGAAGGCTTTCCCACATTGTTTACAAGCATAGAGTTTTTCCACAGTATGAAATTTTTCATGCTTTTTAAGTAAAAAGGGATAAAGGAAAGACTTACCACACCATTTACATTCAGAAGGCTTTGATCCAGAATGAGATATTTTATGTCTTTGTAAGGTATGGCGACTTCTGAAGGCCTCACCACATTGTTTACAGGCATATGGTTTTTCCCCAGTATGAGAAATTTCATGTGTTTTAAGTAAAGAGGGATAAAGAAAAGACTTTCCACACTGTTTACATTCATAAAGCTTTTCCCCAGTATGAGTTATTTTATGTCCTTTAAAGGAATGGCGACTTCTGAAGGTCTCACCACACTGTTTACAGGAATAGGGTTTTTCCCCAGTATGAGATATTTCATGCATTCTAAGCGAAGAGGGATAAATGAAGTCTTTAGTGCATATGTTACATTTATAAGGTTTCCCTCCAATATGAGATGCTTCATGTACTTTAAGTAAATAGGGAGAAATGAAAGACTTAACACAGAGTCTACATTCATACAGTTTTTCCCCACTATGGATTCTTTCATGTACTTGACGATCACTGAGATGTCTGAAGGCTTTCCCACATTCTTTACATTCATAGGGCTTTTCACCAGTATGAGTTCTTTCATGCTTTTGAAGTAAAGAAAGAAAAATGAAGGCTTTATCACATTGTTTACATTTATAGGACTTTTCTCTTGTATGAATTCTTTCATGATTTTCAAGAAAATGGGAAGAAGTCCACGCTTTGCCAAATTCTTTATGTTCATGACAGATGTCTATACTGTGAGTCCTTTCGTGTATACAAAATGAAGAAGGAAAAACAGAGGGTTTTCCACATTCCTTGTGTTCATAGCATTTTTCTCCACAGTTAGTTTTTTGATGTATTTGAAAAGAACTGGGAAAAGATAAAAATTTTAGACATGTCTCATAATTACAATGTCTATACACATTGTAGATTTCCACCTATCTGTGCATATTTGTGATGGATTTTTATGGTCTTTCAACACCGTTTACATTTAGACTGCATCTTTCCATCTTTCTTGTGCCAGTATGATTTTACTTCAGTACCAAGTAAGAGTCTCACTGTATAACCCTGGATGGCCTGGAACTTACTATATAGACCAGGCTGGCCTTGCACTCACAAAGATCTGCCTGCCTCTGCCTCCTGAGTGCTGGGATTAAAGACCTGGAAAACAGCACCCAGTTCCCTGTAGGTATTTTTGTCCTCATATTAAGATGTGGCTTCTAGGTGATCATTTCTTCACATTGACCACCTTCTGTGCATTCATGCAGTCTGTCCACCACTCACCTTCTATGAAACAATGACAAGCACATTCATTGCTGTGCTGGTTAGCTTTTGTCAACTTGACATAAACTTGAGTTGTCTGGGAGGAGGGAAGCTCAGTTCAGAAACTGACTTTTAGACTAACCTGTGGGGCATTTTCTTGATTGCTAATTGACATAGGAGGACTCTGCCACCTGTGGGCGGTGCTACCGCTGGGCAGGTGCTTCCTGATTATACAAGAAAAGTAGCTAAACAAGCCAGCAAGCAGCACTCCTCCACCGCCTCTGCTTCAGTCCTCACCGCCAAGTTCATGCCCTGGCTCTCCTCAAGGATGGACTGCAACTTGTAACCTGAAATAACTCCTTTCCTGCCCAAGGTGCATTGAGTCATGGTGTTTATCAAAGCAACAGAGAAACCAAACTGGAACAGCTGTTTTCAGGACTCCTTTTTAATTGGATTTGGATGTACGTTATTCCAAAATAATGTATAGTTTCTCTATTGTACACCTTCTGGTGTATCTGATTGGGTTAAAACTAAATGGACTGGTGATTCTGTGGCATGGCTCCTACAGAGTGATTTTGAAAGGAGCAATATTTATATACAGTATTCCGAAACACAAGAGTCTCCAAGTGAAATGTATCCAGACATTGAATCACTTTCTTGCACTGAGTAATATATAAATTATCAAAATTTTCAATGATGAGTAAACTTTAATTTGTGCTTATTTACATCCTGTGTTTGTTCTTCAATTTTTATATCACACTAGATTACCTAATGGGACATTGGCTTTCACCTGAACAGGCAAATTACCTTAGACTTCTCCAAGGATTCTTGGATTGGTTGTCAGTGTTTTGGTCTTCCCATTTGTTTCCTAAAATATAGGTACAGAAAAATATTATAAATTACTAAAATTTATATAAAATGTATTTTCTAGCTTCAATACTACATTATAGGAATTCGCTTTGTTTCCAATGTGTGAAAACAGAGAAAGGCATCAGTAACACTCATGCTCCAATGACTAAGTGAAGGAATGATGGCATTCTTACCTATACAAGCGATGTTCCTGTAGGTTTCCAGCATTACATCTCTGTACAGATGCTTCTGAGAAGAATCCAGCAAAGCCCACTCTTCCTGAGTGAAGTTCACAGCCACATCCTCAAAGGTCACTGGGTCCTAAACATCCCACAGAGAATGATATATGTAAGTGAAACTGACAGCATGTAGAATCCAAACTCAACGGACACATAATTCTATATCTACAAACATTTATTACATGACACAGCAGTCTGGAGCAACTTCAATAGGACACAGCTGAATAGGATCCCTTCACTCAATATTGGGACAGGACTTGAACATGCTGCTCGACCACCTCAATTTTTTTCCTTTTCTTTTTTGAGACAGGGTTTCCCTGTAGCCCCAGCTGGCCTGGAACTCACTATGTAGACCAGGCTGGCCTTGAACTCACAGAGATCCACCTGCCTCTGCCTCCTGAGTGCCCGGCCTCCCAATTTCTTATCAGAGAACATTTCCACTACGTGTTGTGATGGTCTGAATAACTTGATGTATTTGAAGACTTGGTCCCCAGTTGACAGTGATGCTTGGGGAAACCAAGGAACTTTTAGGACACAGAGCCTTGCTGGATGAAGTAAATCACTGCGGCAAAGCTTGAGAGTTTACTCCTTGCCCATTTCCAGTTCTCTCTCTCTCTCTCTCTCTCTCTCTCTCTCTCTCTCTCGCTCTCTCTCGCTCTCTCTCTCGCTCTTGCTCTCGCTCTCTTTCTCATTACTGCTGTACAAAATGTGATCTCTCAGCTTCCTGCTCCTGCCACACCTTCCTCACCATTATGGACATCTAGCCCTCTGGAACCCTATCAAAATAAACTCTTCCTTATGTTGCTTTTGACCATGGTATTTTATCACAGCAACAAAAAGGGAACTGATACACTGGTCATAACAAGGTTCTATCACCAAGAGTAGAAAGAGAATTGACATCAGAAGTCATGACGCTAACTATCCATGCAAACTTCTGCTCATAAGTTTAAGCTTTGCTGGCACGAGGGAATGAAAGCTATTGGGAGAGGGATTGGAGAGATGGCTCAGTGGTTAAAAGCACTGGCTGCTCTTGTGGAGGACCCAGGTTCAGTTCCCAGCACCGACATGGCAGCTAACAACCATATGTAACTCCAATTCCAGGGGACCCAAAAACAACATGGTCTGGTTTTTAAGAACACGGTTGGTACCATTCCTATTGTCCTGGTACCAACTTCTGTATTGGCCACTGTTTGTTGCTGTGATAGAACGCCATGACCAAAAGAGAATTACACAAAAAAAGAAATCATCCTGGTTTATGGTTGCAGACAGGAAGTCCAAAATAGTGAGAAATGGTAGCAGGTGGCCAGAGCAGGAAGCTCACTGATCACACCTACAACTACAAACACAAAGCTGAGATCAAACTGGAAGTGGGGCAACGCTGCAAACATCCAAAGCCCACCCCCAGTGACATGCTTCCTCCAACAGGGCTGCACTGCCTAAAGGTTCCATGACCTCCCCAAGCTGTGCTACCAGATGGGAACCACATGTTCAATACTTGAGCCTATGGGAGACATTTCTGACTCAAAGCACCACATCCAACACAATGGACTCCATCCCTCTGGAACCATAAGACCAAATAAACCCTTTCTTCCCTGAAGTTGCTGTTGGTCAATATTTTATCATAACAACAGAAAAGCAACCAGAAGAAATAGGTACTGAGACTGGGGTGTTGCTATGATGTCCTGACCATATGGCTTTCTATGCTTTTGAATTACTGTGTTGGGGGAATGCTGCTTATTGGCAGCTCACTGGCTCACTTAGCTCACTTCCTTATACAGCCCAGGTCCACCTGCCTATGGATGGTACCACCCACAGTGGGCTGGTCCCTCCCACATCAATCAATATTCAAGACAATTCCTCACATAGCACCCTTAATCCAATCAGATACAGGAAATCCCTGGATTCAGCCTCCCTCACATGACTCTAAGCCTTGTTGACAGCTGAAGCTAAGTGGGGAGTCAACATAATCCCAATGAGAATCCAAAAACATAACCAATAATAGAGCCGATTGTAAAGATAACACAGAAAGGGGAAAACCAGAATACTGACTACAGTACTGCACAAGAAATGGCATACATAGTGACATTATATGACTCAAACTTTCTAAAAAAAAATTTCAATGAGTACTATTTGGGAACAAATACATATCACCGGAACAGGAAAACCAAAAATAAAACCACAAAACTGTAAGCAACTTATTTTTTTACATAGAACAGAAGAAACTCCGTGTATAAACCGTGGTCTTCTCACAAAAGCTACTAGACTTCATGGGACCCACGCTGAGAAAAGCCATTACAGAGCGTACAACTTCCACAGAACTGACTCCAAGTGCATCCTGACCTAACTGTGAAACGCGAAGTGCAGAGCACGGGGAACGTCCCAGAGGAGCCGACCTCCGGGAAGGCGGGTGACAGGTGTCGGGGTCTACGCCACGGCAGAGCCTGTTAGGGATCCACGCTACCGAAGCACATCCCTATTCCAGTCCTTTCCCAAGCAGGACCTGGGGGCGCACGCCGAACACAGACGTAACCGACACGGAAGCTCCCGATGCGCGGCACGCGGGGCGGAGCTGCGCACAGGCCGCTGGGGATGGGGGTGCGGGGCACCGAAGACCGAACGGGACAGCCGCCTGCCAAGCCTCCGCCCTCCCCAAACTCTCCGGGAGGACGCACCACCACCCGCTCCGGCGGCCGCTGCTCCCGTCTGGGGAAGCCGCCCCACACTCACCATGGCCGGTTTCAGGGCCCGCCCGCTCCTCCCGGATCCAGGCGGCCGCGCTGACAACACCCGCCCGGATCCCACAGAACGGCAGCTACGGAGCGGGAAATCCCGCCCCTTCCTCCGCCCTCGGCTAGTCGCCACTTCTCATTGGACAGCCCTCTCGGAGGCCCTGATTGGCTAGTGCGGCCTGAGTGACAGGAGGAGTGCCCTTTGACATGAATGGAGCCGAAATGATTGGGTTACAATATCCACTCCTAGCCTGGCGTCTGCCTCCAGCTCAGACGGCGGCAAGGAGCCAGAAGTTTGGCCTTCTAACAGATCTCGTTTCTGTCCACTCAGAGCTCCAACCTTTTTCCGCTCTGCAGGCACCTCCAGTTCTTCCTGCAGGACACAGAGTGCCCAGTGTGCACCCCCATTTCACAAAGTCCAAAGAAATGATGCTTTTGCCTCACGTTTAGAAGCGCGCCCAGCCCAAGCCAGGTCTGATTCTAATAGGACCTGCTGTCCAGGGATCAGGAGTTTCAGGAAAACACTCTGGGGATCGTTCACATCTATCTCTCAAGCTGCACAGTTGCAGCCAGAAAAATAACACCAAACCCTGAGTGAAGGATCAAGCCTGTGAACCCACTTCTTAGGCGGTATAGACAGGAAAATGAGGAGTTTAAGGCCAATCTTGGCTGCATGAGACTTCCATCTTTAAAAAAACAAACAAGTAGCCAGGGTGGTGGCACAAGTCTAAATCCTAGCACTCCATAGCAGAGGAGGGGGATTTCTGTTAGATCCAGGACAGCCTAGTCTACATAGCGAGTTCCAATCCAGATGGGGCTACAGGGAGCCCCTCCCCCCCCCCCGCCCGCAAAAAAGCCAACCAAACAAAAACCTAAAACCTGCCAATAGAAAACCAAAATTATTAATGAATGGAAAAATGAAGTTTAGAAAGAGAGATTAAGGGAAACATCCATCAAATAGGTATTTGAAAAAAAAGGACACTGATGATACCAAATTTTGGTTATTTTAAAGATAAACATAATTAGCATAGCCTTAGATATGCTGAATTTTTAAAAAGGACCCAAATTGATGGACTATGTGAATTGCAGAAGAGCCACAAGCCTCATTAGGAAAAGCCATAAATCCCTTAAAGAGTCTAACTGGCCAAAAATTGGCAGCCTGGCCTTGCTCAGCCTTATCAACTGGTCACTCACATATGTAAGAAGAATTAGCAATCCTTCACAATAATTGAACAGAAACAGTTTTTAATTCATTCCATGAAACCACACTCACTTTGATAAAAAGCCAGACAGAGCACTAAGAAAAGTAAACTACAGGGAATTGTCCTGTAAGAAAATGGATGCATAAATCGTCAACAAAATATTAGTATATAAAATTGGCAGAATATAAAAGTTCAGATAATTCCTAGGATGATACTTTTTTTAAAAAATAGTTTACTAGGCAAAGGTAGGCAGATCTCTGTGAGTTCAAGTCCAGCCTGGTCTCGAATTCCAGGTCACCTGGGGCTATGGGGAGACCCTGCCTCAAAAAAAACCACCAACAACAAAAACAAAGAAATAGTTTACTGTATGAGGCTGGAGAGAAGGCTCATTGGTTAAGAGCATTGACTGCCCTTGCAGAGGAACCAGGTTCAATTCCCAGCACCCATATGGTGCAGTTCCAGTTCTAGGGGATCCGATGCCATCTTCTGACCTCTTTGGGCATTGCATGACATGGGTGCACTTATACACATGCGGGCCATACATTCATACACATAAAAAAAAATTAAATAAAATATTTTTAGGCAGTTTACTGTACTATATAATGTTCATAGAAAGAAGAAAACAGGCATGATTTCAGGTCCTCTGATATAAAAAATATTTTGACATTCTCAAGTTGTTAATTTTAATTTAAAATTTTATTTTATATGTGGAGGTCATTCTGCTGGAGTCTCCTCTCACCATGTGTCTCACGTATGGAACCCAGATAGGCAGGCTTGGTGGCATGTCCCTTTCTTTACCCACTCACCCCTCTCCCACCTTTTCCATTTATACAGTGAACAGTTGATGGATACAGACTTTTTGTTTAAAAATGATGAAAAATTTTCAGGCATCATGGCATGCACCTATAATCCCAGGCCTTGGAGACAAAGGAGAACAATCAGAAGGTCTGGGCCAGGTACACCATGCCTAAAAACAAATGATATAAGGAAAAGGGAAGAAAAAGAGAAATATAAGTTTGGGGAAGAAGAAAGCAGCCACAGTTACATTATATAAGGAATGTAATGACTACTGAGTACTGTACTTAAAACATAAAAATGGGAATGTTGAGATGGCTTAGCAGAAACAGCACTTGGTGCCAGGCCTGATGACTTGAGGTCAACCCCCACAATCCACAAAGTAGAACAAGAATCCCACAAGTGGTACTCTGACCTCTGATCTCCACATATGCACCTGGGTGTGTGTGTATCATGGGGGCGGGGGTGGGGGAATAAATCACATTTTTTTTTGGTGGTCTTTTTGAGACAGGGTCTATGTAGACCAGGCTGGTCTATGTAGAGACAGGCCTATGTAGACCAGGCTGGCCTTGATCTCACAGAGATCCACCTGCCTCTGCCTCCCAAGTGTTGGGATTAAAGGCGTGTGCCACCACGCCTAGCTACAAATCACATCTTTGAGTTAAAAAATTAAAGAATGCAAAAATGATAAATTTATACATGTATATTTTACCTCAAAGATTTAAAACAAAAAAAATGCTAAAAATAAAAACAAAATAAATTTTTAGGGAGGAAAACAACTATGTCTGGGATAGTAAATAAAAAGTGAGGGTGGTTTCATGGAATGGGTGTCATGAAAAGTTCTAGCAATTGAAATCATCAAAAATGAAAGACCCAACTGTGGTGGTTAAAATGAGAAATGTCCCCCATAGGCTCACATATCTGAACACTTGGTCTATAGTTGGTGCACTGATTTGGGACATTATGGAACCTTTAGGAGGTATGGCCTTCCTGGAGGAAGTACATCACCGAGAATTCACAGCTTTGCCACTTCCACTTCTCTCTGTCCTGTTGCTGGATGAAGATGTGAGCTCTTGGTTTTTTTGCCTGCCATTTGCCGCCTGATATGATGCCTCCCTGATATGATGGGCTCCTAGCCCTCTGGACTATAAGCCCTAATAAACTCTTCCTTCTATAAGTTGCCTTGGCCATGGTGTTTTATCACACTAACAGAAAAGTAACTAATACGCCAATGAAGAAAATGAACAGAACATCAGTGAGCTGCATGTGAGGCCAACACAGCACAGTATGTGTAACAGGATTCTTTGAAAGGGATAAGGATGAAAAAAATCATTTGAGGGCCTGGAGAGATGGCTCAGTGGTTAAGAGCACTGACTGCTCTTGCAGCGGACCTGGGCTCAATTCCCAGCACCCACATGGCTACGAACTGTCCTTAACTCCAGTTCCAGGGGAATCCGAAGCCCTCTTCTGACCTCCGCCATTGCACGACACGGGTGCACTCACATACACGCAGACAATACACTCATACACATAAAATAAAAATAATAAAATATTTTAAAAAAAGAAAAGTCAGCCAATGTGGGTGCTAGGAACTAAATTCTGGTCCCCTGGAAGAGCAGCAAGTGCTCTAACCTTAAACCATCTCTCCATCCCCTTATTTCTAATGTCTTCTTAACCCATAGCCACCCTACATTTTATGTCCAGCACAGTCTTCTCTAAGCACAGCTCAGGGTCACACATATCCCCAACTTAACCACCAAGACCTCTAAAAGAACCCACCATTCCAAGTAAAATGAAAGGTCTCAGCCCAGCAATCCAGGGCTGATTATGATTTTTTTTTTTTCTCGTCACGATCTTTACCTTCTTTGCCCAACATAGCTCGAACTCACCAATCTATATCCTATGGAATTGATTCTCCTGATAGAGTCTTGCCTATTCATAATTCTCCAGATTTTTCCTCCTGGTCTGCTTCCTTCTTAGGACACAGGATTTCGCGAATCTACCTGTCTTCTTCCCTTCATGCTCAAATTCTATGAAAACTACAATTAATGTTTGTAGACTTTTGCCATAACTCGTTTTCCTTCAAATCTCCAGAGGACAGACTCCTCATGTGCTGTGGCCTTCCCCACTCTCCTCCTGATTCTGGAGTCATGCCTGATTTAATCTGACAGTCCGCACACTTACCAAGGGCAAAAAGCTCATCTTTATTCATGTGCTGCTTTTGTAACCTGTGACCTGCCGGGCTCCCTGAGATCTGAAGCTTTGCAGACTTTTTAGGCACTGCTGTTGGCCCAGATGCTGTCTGTGGAGCAAGGCAACCTGATTTCTTATTTTTTGGTGAGGGGGTAAGGCAGCCTCTCAATGAATAGCCCTGGCAGGCCTGTAAATGTCACTGATCTTCCTGCCTCTGCTTCCTTCCTTGAAGGCTGGGAGCAAAGGAACAAGGAGGACTGGGGGAACTGGTCGGGACTGGAGGACTCAGGTTTCAGGGAAGTGAGTAGGCTATGGTCATTCCTCAGTCCTTAATATTGTAGGGCATCTATAATTTTGAGATAGGTTCTCTTCCCCTCGGTGGTCTGGAAATTGCCCAGTAGGCTAGGCTGCCTGGCCAGCCAGCCCCAGAGCTCTTCCTCAGTGCTGGAATCACAAGCATGTACTGCCTCATCCCGTTGGTTTTTTTGTTGGTCTTTTTTTTTTCCTTACTGTCTGGTGATGTAACCAAGTCCTCATTTTTACTTTACTGATTGAGCTATCCTGCCAGTCCCAGAACACACAGGACTTCCTACTCCTTTTTCTTCCTCCTCTTCCTCTTCCTCTTTTCCCTCTTCTTAAACAAAATAACTGTATTTCATTGAAACACAGGCAAAACATATCGAGACATTTCTGTACTCTTACCAATAAATTTGACTATTTTAAATTGTTTCCTATTGCGACGGGTGTTAGGGTTCAGATCCACAGCAAAGCCCCTGAGATAAGCACCCTGGTCTTTGAAGTCAAAAGCAGACTTTTCTCCACAGTTTGGTCGCACAGCAGGCTTCCCCTTGGATCTCAAAACGGGGGTAGGTTTTAACAGTTCCACTCTCCTGCTCCCCCCTCCAACCTTTAAA